TATTTGATGTAAAGAAAATAGGAAGTTGCCCCTTTGGTGGGTGCTAAAACTAGTGCTAAAGCAGTGTTTTTTTTTTTTTTTTAATCACTTAAATGTACAGAACTCACTGTATGCTCACAGATACTTGCCTTTCATGTTTCATTCCCCATGCCTATCCATAGCTGATATGCAGTCATGTAGATGATCTAGACTTCATTCCTGGACTGAGTCAGATTAGTTCAGAGCTTCATTCAAGAGCTACATTATTTTAGCCATTTTGTAGAATTGCTTTAATTTTACTTTGGTAGTATAAACCAACCAAACTCACTGCCGTTGAGTTGACTCGTAGCAACCCCTCCTTGGGTTTGTAGATTGCCCAGTCTTCCTTCTGAGGAGTGGCTGGTGGGTTTGAACTGCCAGCAGTCAAATGCCTTAGGCACTACACCACCAGAGCTCCTTTGGTGGTATAGGCACAGCAGCTGAAGGCAATCTTGTAGTTAAAATAGTTATAATAGCATTGTTTCTCCACAGGGTATTATATAGAATCTTTTTAAAAGTAAACACTACAGATCCCTCAATGATAATTTGTTTTTTATTGTATTCCTGTGTAACTGTACCAACAAAACTAAGGATAAACTCCTTGTAGTAAAGCCTTTACACAACTATAGAACCAAAAAGATTTACCAGTTTAACTGTGAAACCAGTGAAATCAAGATCGACATTCTTAAATTATGATAGACTTTTTCCCCCTAAAACTAAGTCACTGATTGTAATGCAAATATGGTACTACTGCTAAATTTCAGGTTCTTTTGAGTATAGTATTCTGATGTTTCACATCATGACTGAATGATGTATAAGTACACCCCTCAAATCTGTGGAACAAGAGGAGCTCTGACTGGAGTAATGAAAAGTTTCTCATTTTCAGATCATTCCTGCAACCCTGGCCTGCTGAGTATCATTACACATATAACTGCACCAACCTTGGCTCCTGGAAATTCATCTGCTGTAGCCCCTACATCTGCTCCACCACTGAAGAGTGGGCCTTTTTTAGATTCAGAGACTTTTATTGGACTGGTGGTCTTTGTGCTCTGCCTTTTGTATTCTAGGTAAGTTAAAAGGTGTTTAGGATAAAATTCTCATGAAGAATCCAGATCATTGTAAACAATATTTAAACAACTACAGAATTATATACACTGGGAGCTCTGGTAGCATAGTGGCTAAGACACTTGCCTGCTAACCAGACGGCTGGCGGTTCAAACCCACCCAGCCACTCGTCGGAAGGAAGGTTGGGCAATCCTACTTCCGTAGTGAAACTACCTCGGAAACCCAAGGAGGGGTCGCTGTGAGTCGGGTTTGACTCAACGGCACATAACAAGAACAACAAAGTTAAGGTCTGGTAATGCAAAACCCAGAGAGAACCAGTGTTACCAGTTTATATCCATATTGCATTGCGTTGGGTCTGTAGATTAATTTAGGAAGAAGTTTTGCCATCTCAATATTACTAAGTCTTCCTGTCTATGCTTATGAGCTGTCAAAATTTCCATTTATTTAGGTGGTCTTTCATTTCTTTCAATGTTGTTTTATAGTTTTTAGTGTATAAGTTACACCCATTTTTGGTTAAATTTATTCATAAATATTTCATTTTTGGGGGTGATATTATAAACTAAATTGTTTTTGGAATTGAATTTTTAGATTAATTTCTAGTGTTTAGGAACTCAGTTGATTTTTCTGAATTGCTCTTGTATCGAGCAACTTTACTGAATTCCTTTATTGGTTCTACTAGTTTTTTTTTTTTTTGTAGATTCCTTAAGATTGTCTATATTCAAGCGCCAGTCATCTGCAAATAGAGATAGTTTTACTTCTTTCTTTCCAATCTGGATTCCTTTTCTTTCTTTTTCTTGCCCGATCATTCTGACTAGAACCTTCAGTACAGTGTTCAGTAGAAGTGTTGAAAGCAGGTATTTTGTCTTGTACCTGATCTTAAAAAAAAACCAAACTCACTGTCATTGAGTCAATTCTGACTTAAAGTGACCTCCATTGGGTTTCTGAGGTGATAAATCTTATGGAAAGTCAATTGCCCCATCTTCCTTCCGCAGAGCAGCTGGTGGGTTTGAACCACCATCCTTCTGGTTAGCAGTCAAATGCCTTAGGCACTGTACCACCAGAACTCCTTCTTGATCTTAGAGGGAAGCATTCAGTCTTTCACCATATGGTGTGTTAGCTGGGGGCTTTTCATAGGTGAAAAACCTTTGTCAGGTTGAGCAAATTCCTGTCTATACTAATTTGTTAACCATTTTTATCATGACAGGGTGTTGATTTTGTCAAAGGCTTTTTCTGCATCTATTGAGATGATTGTATATTTTTTGTCCTTTATTTGTATGTCCTTTTATATTCAGATAGTCATTTAACAAACTTTTAGCGAGAACTTTCTGTGTGCCAGAGATGCATAGATGACTAAGGTCATTGTCTTTAAGGTGCTCTTTTCAATAGCAAGAAAGACAGGAATGCAAACACTTTCTACTCAGTATGGTAAGTGCTGTGGCAGAGAGCATGGGGGGCTATGGGAATACGAGGAGTATCTCCTAATGCAGCGTGATGACAGAGTAATATCAGGGAAGGCTTTCTAGAAGAAATGGCACCTAGGGAATTAAAGGATGAGTAAGTCAGCTGGGAGCAGAGTAGCGGATGTTAGAGACACTTACGAAGTACGGCTTGAGCACTGAGAGCACAGTGTGCTGGAGGAGCTCCTAAGTAATTAAGCTGTCATGGAGTAACTTATCAGAGTACTGTCTGACTTGTGACAACAGGCAACAACAGTCCAGTTCTTGGGCAGGGCCTTCATAAGACTTTAGCTTTCAGTCCCCAAAGTAGGAGCAGCTCAGAAATAACCTTCTGTATATAGGCCAGTGGCAGCAGTTCATCATTATGGCCCCTTTCTGATTTTCCTTCCTTGGGATCACTTTCTCCAGCATTCGCACTTCCAACAATAGCCAAGTGAACAAGTTGACCCTGTCAGGGAGTGACAGCGTGATCCTCAGTGATACAGCTACCAGTGGTGCCAACGATGAAGAAGATGGACAGCCTCGGCGGGCTGTGGACAACGAGAAAGAGGGAGTGCAGTACAGCTACTCCTTCTTCCATTTCATGCTCTGCTTGGCTTCCTTGTACATCATGATGACCCTGACAAGCTGGTACAGGTAGGAGGCACAGACAGAACGATGGCAGACCATGTCGCCTCTTGGACGGCCTGTAAGATCTCCACCCTGTCTTGACCCCAGAATCTCGTTCTCATCCCCATATGATGACACTGTGCTCAGTGCTGACTCTTCTGAAGTACTTCTGACTTTTTCTCCTCTTGCATTTAAATCCTAGCAGAAATTCTTAATCTTAAGGGTGAGATGTTTATCCAGACTCATGTTGCTAGAAAGAAAATCATGACATGAAGTGACCTGGCCCACTCGTGACTCTTGTTCACTCATTCTCTGTGTCTACAGGGGGCTGGCCATATCAGAGTTTTCTGGTCGAAGAAGGTGCTAAAGCAGGGAAGTTTCAGGGAGGCCACTGCAATCTAGACTTTTGCCAATAACTAGAACAGGCAGATGTTCTGGAAGAACCTTGCCCGAGGAATAGTCAGGTTTTCCTGCTGGCAAGGAGACGAAAGCTGGTTGAGAGGCAGAGCCCCCTGCCTTTCCTAAGACTGCAAGCCTCATGCAAACTAAAAGCACCACTTCCTCATGCCCTCTCTAGAACCTTATTGTGGGTAGTGCCAGCCAAGCTTTACTGGTGACTTTTTTGCCTTTGGTGGGGTTGCTGAATGCGGACATCAGGCTCTTTGATCTAACTCTCTCCTGTTTTCTTAGCCCTGATGCAGAGTTCCAGAGCATGACCAGCAAGTGGCCAGCTGTATGGGTAAAGATCAGCTCTAGCTGGTTCTGCCTCCTCCTTTACACCTGGACCCTTGTGGCTCCGCTCATCCTCACCAGTCGGGACTTCAGCTGAACCTCTGATGCCAGGGAGACCACTGAAATTCATAAAGGTCTCCTTTGCTGAAAGCTCATATCCTTTCTATCTTTGCTTCAACTAAAATATTAAGTGAACGCTTTGCACATTTGACTATATCCAGGTTTATATCAGATGGCAAGATTGAATAATGCTTGATCCAGGACCTTAGCTTTTCATTTATATGTATATTATGTTTATTTGTAAGGATATAATACAAAAGGAACACTTTTATGTTTTAAAGTGAACTACAGCTGTGCTGTGAAAAGAATTCTTTATAAAGACCTGTAGGTTCCTACAACTATGATTTAAAATGTAAGACAGATTGTTGGATATTTGAGGCCATAATTAATATATTTCTATTACACTGTCCTTAAGCAAAAGAATAATGCATTTGTATGACAGTTTTCCTCTGGGAAAGCCCTAACTTGTGTGGTAGAAGTATCCTGTTCCCTGCTTAACTCTGGAGAGGAGTAGCATCGCTTGAGGCAGCAAGGACATGTGTGGGTCCTTGCCCTGAAGAGTGCTTACTGATGTGGCTACTGCTTTTACATTGTGAGTCTTTCATTTACCTTTTTTTTCCCCACACAGCAGCATTAATGCTGCTTGATTCCAGTCTGCCTTTGCCAGCCATGTTCACTTCAGTAAATGCTTTGTTGGTTTGGTTAAAGCAAAGATTCACCTGGGAAAGCACTGCAGCTTTATGTAATCCTCTCTTAGGAGTATATAGACGTAAAATGCATGTGAATTTATTACATTTGCACTATAAAGGTATTTGATTAAAATACAAAGACTTTAAGCCTTTCAGGCCCTTTGTTTAATAGCTTTTGTGAGTCGGCAGCCATTTTGTATTTGTGGGATTTATCTGGGCAGTCAGGTTTATCAAGCACCTAGCAAGATGGTCCAGTTCCTTCTCAGACTTCAGATCTGCCTGGTGAGTAAAGTTCTGCACTCATTCAAAGGTGTATTAAGCATCTTTTCTGGTAAGACATGTCAGTAGGTGAGAAACAAACAAGGCACTGTTGTGAAATGTATTCCTGAGTGGCAGCGTGCAGAAGGTAGAAGAGAACTGTTTGTTCCTTCATCAAAGATTTCCTGGGTGTCTGTTCTGTGCCAGGCACTTTTAGGTTCTGGAGATGCAGTTTTAATATGACAGACAGTCTGCATCTGGGACTTACTTACCCTTTAGAGAAGGCTGAAAATGCGCACATGAGTGCTTACAGTGTGGGGTGATTACTGCTGCAATTAGGGATTGTGAAGGGGCTCAAATGAGAGGTGCCTGGTCGGTGTCACTAGAGGAAGTGATGTCAAGGCTGAGAAGTGGTAAGAGTTAGCTAAGAGAGATAGGCAGGTGGGAAGGCATTGCTCAAGGGCAGATGAAACTCTTAATGTTAAAGACAGGAAAATGGAGGGGGAAATAAATGGTTCAATAAAGCTAGAAAAGGGAGAAGTGGGCATGGACCAGGTTATGAAGGGCTTTTAAAATCACACTGGAGTTTGGACCTTGTGTTGAGGGCAGCAAGGAGCATATTCACAATGATACGAACTGATAATGTAGAGAATGGATTAGAGAGGTGAGATCAGGGCAGTCTGTATGAAATTTGAAATAGAGAAGTAAAGTGTGGATGAGGAGAGATTGAGAGCTACTTAGTAATTAGAATTTAACCGTTGATAATTGATTAGATATGGAGGGAGGGAGAGATTCTGGATGATTCTGTTTTTTTAATCACTTGGACAGATGGTGGTTCCATTTATTTAGGAGGGAAATGAGGAAAAGGAACAAGTTAGGCTAGAGGTATGGAGGTATTCAGTTAAGAATGACTGAGAGCATGGGCTTAGAAGTCAGACTGGCTTTGTGTCCCAGTGTTGCCAGTGTCTTGCTGTCAAACTGGTCAGCTAATACTTATTGAGTGCACACTGTGCTTTATGACCTTGGGCATGTGACTCGTCTTCAAGAGAGTTGTGCAGGACAGTTCCTAGTAAATCGATTGTATAGAGAGTAAAGTTACTTTGCAAAGTGCTTAACCCATACTACACTCTGACAGTAGCTGCTAATCTCAATATAGGCTAAAACGAGACTGTACTGTATTCAGAGATCAATGATGTTTAGCCAGAATTTGATGAAGACTACATTTGAGCTGTTCCTCAGAGAATGAAACAGATGTAGAGTAGGTAGTCTCTGTGGGCGTGGAGGTCAAGTTGGGGAAGCAGAGCTTGTTGGGACAATGTCTTTCAAACTAGTAATTGATGTCAAGGTACAGAGAGAAAGTTGCAAAGGGTTTGGGAGCAGATAGGGGAGATTTAACAGCTTACTTTACCACTATGAAGCAGATACCCCACTTTGCTTAACAGGCGGGCTGACCAGATTAAGACCTTTTAAAGGTCCTAAGCTTCAAAAACAATTATGATGCCTTGCCCCCTGCTTTATGTAATACGAAAATAAAAGCAATACCAACGTAAAACATGTGTAACGGAGGACAATAAAGTTTTTATTTTTTCTCATGGTAATTCAGTATTAATCTAAAGTAACACATTCTTAAAATATTGGCGGCATTGTCTCTGCTTTGCTTGGTAATACCCTAAAAATGAGTGAAGTCTGTTGGTAGTAAACTCAATAATAGTTTACTTAAGGCTTAGGTAAATTCCAACCTAAGTGTTGAGTAATACACAGGCATAAATAATGCTAGCATTTTGAGTAAGTCCAGGACCATACTTTCAAGCAAGACATTGTTTTGAGTCATCAGATCTTACCATGGTGTCATCCCATCCCAGATGAGTTATTTGGTGTTTGTCAGTTGTTGTCTGTTGTCATTGCAGATTGAGGGCCCTGGCTTTGTGAGGTCAGCAGTGTTCTCTAGGAATTCATCACAGGCAACAGCACAGGCTGCTGCTTTTGCCTAGTTGTGGCTGGGGGAACACTGGGAGGCCCATGCCGGGTGAGTTTACTTTCTAGGTTGATCTTGCAAGGTACCCATTTGGATAAATCAAAGAAACTGCCAAGAATGGCCATGGCATAGTTGCCAGTGCTTTTAATGTTCTGGACCAAACTGTAACCCAAGCCTAATTTAAACCAGTGTAATTTTTTCCCATTGACAACTCCTTGCTCAATTGCATTTTTCCTTTCAGGCAGAAGGGAGTGTTCAGGTATTGTGATCAGACATTTCATCCGTGCATGGAGACTGATTGCAGATACCAGGCTTAAGCTTATTAATGGGAATTGCTGTTCATCTTGTCACTCCTGTTCAGTTGGTTTATCCATTCTGTTACATAGGAGTCTAGGTCAGCCACCCTATTCAGTGGTGTCCTAATTAATGCTGGGTGACTCAACCCATGCAATGCCCAAGTCCTCAGGTAAAGAATAACACATAAATAGCTACGTGCGCTAAGCTGTGAACCAACATTCCACCCTGTAAGGTGGTGATTATTCTCTCCCTTTTACAGATCAAACTGAAGCTTAGAGAAGTTAGTGACCTTCCCACGGTTACTCAGGAAGAGGCTAAGCAGAGAAACCAACCCAGGGCTGCCTTTAGAATTCTCGTGCTGTTAGATTCCATTGTCTCTTGGCCCAAAAAGATAGAGAAGACACCATGATACATTTGCTGCCATAGATTTATGGGCGTGCCATGGCAGGAGTGAGCACTGGGCAAAATTAAAGGGTATCTAGAAAAGAAATCAGAAGGTGCTGGCACAGAACGTGAAAAATAACTCCCTGGGGCTTAGAAAGTACCTCAGTTGATTCTGGTAACACCACTGTAAGATGAAAAGGATTGGAGTGGTCGGCTAACACTGAGCTTGGGTATGCTGTCCGTCCTGCACAGCTTCCTCAGGAAAGGCTGTCCTGAGGAGCTAGTTTTGCTGCATTGTAAGTGTTTACCTGTTACACCATCAAAGAAGCGGCAGTAAGTGTATGGACATCCTGTGTTAGGGTATTTCTCAACTGACTCATCACCAATATACCAGATCTAGATTTAGTCTCCTCTTGGGAAGAGTGCGTGTTCCTCAATGATAACATATAGGGGAGAAGCAGCCAGGCTCCATGGGATCAGAGTTCATCAGGCCACATCCTGTTTCCCCTCAGGCAGTCCAGGTTTGTTTAGGTTCTTCTAGAGTAAAATGTTCCATTACAGTTTGGGTCTCAGAGATTAGGAACTATAGCTTTGTATCTTCAAGCAGCCAGAAAACAAGCCAATTTCCAGATTGATGCTGTCTTACTCTATAAAAGATTTCTACCTTCTTTCTTTCTGTGTTCTATCTGTGTGTTATTTGACTATAAGATTGAGACCTGTACAACCTAATTCCAACCCTCAGGAGGAAATGGGGGCTGTAGTCAGACTGCCTGGCTTTGAATTCCAGCTCTACTACCTAGAGTTAGCTGTGTGCCCTTGAACAAGCTGTTTAACTTTCTGTACCTCATTTTCCTCACAGGGGCAGTAATACTGCAGTACACATGTTTGAAGATTAAATGGTAATTTAATCTTTGCATGATTGATGCTTAGTCCACATAAGAACTCAGGAATTGGCAGCTTTTAATTAGTGGAAGGGTTCAAGGGCAGTGTGGAAAGTACAGTTGGGCCGCACAAACTGAAAGATGTGCATATCTTGTCTCTACCACTCCACGCAGCTAGCTCCATTCTCCTGTCTACACACTGGTCTTCTAATTGCACAATTCTAATTGTCCAAGGCAGCCAGCCCAACGTCTGTAGACAACTTCCTCAGGGCCCTGCCCTGAATCACCAGGAGGATCTGCTGGGGTCATCATGAACCAGGAGTAATAACCCTCAAAACCTTTATCCTATCCCCACCTCCAACAGAAAAAGTCTACACACACTTGACCTTACAGGGATTTTTATTGTTTAAGACCCAGTCATGCATAATAAAATTACATGTTTTCACCACTCTGACTTAGAAAATACACTAGAAAAATAAACTTTTGGTCAAAATAAACACTGAAGTAAATGAGTCCTCCACCACTGTGTATCCTTACCCTCAAAGCTAAACTGAATTTTAGTTTGAAGTAAGGAATGACCAGGGATTGAAATAGTTCCCCACTTCCCAGCCCATCCGCGTGGTATCAGAGGCTCTTGGCCACAGACAAATTTCAAAGATTTCACTTACAACACATCCCTAGCTGATGTGCCAAGAAGCCAAGGTAAAATGACAAGAACCAGATAGCACTGATTTCCTGCCTGACTAAATACTCAGAAGGCTGGTGGTTCAAACCCACCAGCCACTCCTCAGAAGGAAGGTTGGGCAATCTACTTCCATAGTGATACTGCCTCGGAAACCCAAGGAGGG